GCTGGAGTGCAATGGCGCGATCTCGGCTCACCGCAACCTCCGCTTCCTGGGTTCAGGCAATTCTCCTGCCTCAGCCTCCTGAGTAGCTGGGATTATAGGCACGCACCACCATGCCCAGCTAATTTTTTGTAATTTTAGTAGAGACGGGGTTTCACCATGTTGACCAGGATGGTCTTGATCTCTTGACCTCGTGATCCACCTGCCTCAGCCTCCTAAAGTGCTGGGATTACAGGCGTGAGCCACTGCGCCCGGCTTTCATCATCAAGTTTCTTCACGTAAATAGATTGGTTTTTAAGATGCCTACCTTGTAATCGGTATTGTAATTAAACACCTTTTGATATTCTGTGAGGTCATATATATGAGTCATCATTGATTGTATTTCATTAAGTGTCTGTGTGATAGAGGAGAGTATGGAAGTGGTAGTTGAAACGTGGGAGTTAAGTTTGTGTTTAAAATCAAACCTTGCCCTTAAGAAATAAAACTGCAGGCTGGGCAAGGTGGCTCACACGTGTAATCCCAGCACTTTGGGAGGCCGAGGTGGGCAGATCACCTGAGGTCAGGAGTTCAAGACCAGCCTGACCAGTGTGGCAAAACCCATATTTTTTTAGTCTCTACTAAAAATACAAAAAAAATTAGCCAGGCATGGTGGTGCACACCTGTAATCTCAGCTACTCAGGAGGCTGAAGCAGGAGAATTAGAATTGCATGAACCCAGGAGGCAGAGTTTGCAGTGAGCCAAGATCATGCCATTGCACTCCAGCCTTGAGACTGTCTCAAAAAAATAAATTAAATAAATAAATAAAGGTAGTTGCATATACTGTTTGCCATCCAATGTGAATTTAGCATATGTGATTTTAGGTATGAGTTGGCGATGTATTCGAGGCTCAGGAATTTTTCTCATGGCTTTAGGAGTAGTGGTAGGAACAGAAGTAGCAGTAGTAGCAGTTGTTGTATCTGTTGTATCCCTTTTATATTCTGAAATATTTTAGGCTGCATGCATTGGCTCATACCTATAATCCCAGCGCTTTGGGAGGCCAAGGTGGGAGGATGGCGTGAGGCCAGGAGTTTCAGACCAGCAACA